ACATCCCTTTCCCTTCGCACAGTATAAAGTAATGATAAGGTCATTTACAAAAGAAACTACTGCTTTTGAAATGGTGACTTGTAGACAAGAGGACTGCCTGGAAGTGGGCCATAGATAACACTGAAGGCTGCATTCTCCTCTCAGACACCAACAGCACCAGCCTCCGAGTCTTTGGAACAGATTCTGATGGAGAAAGGGTCCAATAAGGTTAATACCCCTACTTTGATCTCTGTCAAGGCAAGAATTAATTTACATTTCAGATGAAAAAGGTTGACAGCATGAAAAGGCATCTTGTTTCTGGTATGTGAATGTGCTGTAATAGATTGGGAATTCTGAAAGGAAGTTCTGAGGAAGCTAAAGGGATAAACCTCACTGCTGCTTTTACTGGGAAAGAGATGAAAGGAAAACAAATTTCAGTATGAGCTGCGTAAAAACATGTAAGCCAAGGGCTTCCTAGATTTCAAGACCACCTTTTCTCCTCCCACTCCGGTTTCCTTCTTCCTTTTTTAAACTTCTTCTTTTTAAAGAGACACTTATATTACATTCAATGACTCTTAGAATGCCTTGGCAATAAACCAAAACTCTTCAGAGAAACAAAAGCCCTCAGGCTTTATTGTAACCCTGATCATATTTTGTAGGCATCTTCCACGAGTGCTTGGTGGTGGGGTTTCTATAGCATCAAACATTGTTAATACAACAGCTGAGATACACATTGCTGGAGTAATAAAATCCTGGAAATGGCCAATACAGTTTGAAGGAACAAAGATTTTAATGGAGAGATTCAGAAACATAGTGTAGACAGTGTCCAACCAAAATTTTTTTTCAGGAAGAGGGATTTGACACTCAACTTCAACTCTCCCATAGAAGCAATACAAATAACTCTTTATAACATGGGTTGGAATAAAAGTACTCTGATGAAATTTCATATGCAGCTTTTTAATGCTTTCTATAGGTTGTCTATGTTACAGCCTCTTGATTTATCTCCCTGTCCAGATATCAGTGTTCTAAACTGGAGTAAAATGTGCCATTTTTACATTAAAAAGTAATTACCAATGCATCTCATAAATTGTATAAGAAAGTAACCCCCAGAATACTTTTGGAAGAACTTTAATTTTCTTTAGGATTCCTATGTTCTGATGCAAGTATACATAATATATCAACAGCCAAATATATTTATTTATACTGTTAGAGATACTACCCCAAGCATTTTATATACATTTTATAGTATGGCTATGCCATGGTCTCGGAATTCATGTGACTTTTTGCTGAGATTGGATCAATTACTGTTTCCCTTATCAAGCACGAATGGGAGGAAAGACTGTAAAAACAAGATGCAACCAAGACACATTTGGAGACACATGCCCAGATGCCATGGCATCTAATTTCACGAATATCCATGTCTACATCTTGTAGTAACTTTTGCCTATTCTTCCAGACAAGCAGAAGACAGAAAGGGAAAACTATACTGAAAGTCTCTCTGATGTTAAAACAAAACAAAACAAAAACAAAATGCACTGTGTTGCACTCCTAAGGTGTGTAAACATAAAAGCACACATACACATACATCAATTTGTGCAGATCTCTAAAATCCTTATCAAACATCATTTTAAAACCTGTATGAATCAATGTACACTATCAGTGCATTTTCAGTGCACTCTCAACTTAGGATATGATTGAACCATCTTGTTGCTCCTACTGGAAAGAAGTTATAGGTTTCTAGCCCTTATCTAAGGGCTTATTCAATGAACAAGCCTCTACTATGCTAAGAATGACTTCAGAACATTCAATCGGAAGTCATTCTTAGCATAGGGATCCAGATAGGAAAAAAGAAATTGCATACATGGGGGTGGGAGTGGGGAGTCAGAGTCAGTGGTAGAAGACATCCTTTTCTTGAAGACCAATTTGGGTTCAATTCTTGGTGTCTCCAGTAAGACTAGAACAATTCTTCCTGAAACTCTGGAAAGTTTCTGGTAACAGCAGTACATTAGATGAACCAATGATTTGGCTGAGTTCCTTAGGTAATTTGAGTTTCCTATTTAATTCAAATGAAAAAAAGTGGTCTTCTCTGAGAGCAGCTTTTCTTATTCACCAGAATTAAGTTTTTTCAGGCTGGGCCTGATGAAGTGTGTATGCTTCCTATTACTAATCCTGGAAGTGATGCTTTAGAATTTCTGTTCACTCTTCACTTCTTAAAGCAATTTCCAGTAACTTCTAGAAACAGTTAGTCACTTTCCTTTATATATGGTGGTGGTTTTCTCCTCAGGGACAAAGGAATAATGCAATACTTAGATATTCTAGAAATAGATTTTGACAAAATATGACATCGACAGGATTGGGGGAAAAAAACCTTGTATCTATTTTTTAAGAGGGGGAAAAAATCTAGAGGGAGTAATTTAGGACTGAACCAAATGACCATTTATTCCAGTGCAAGTTTAGGTCTCTGTCTTTGTTTTGTAGATAGGGACCTATGATGTCCTCCAAAGATCCCAGCTCCCCCATCTTTTTCCACTATACATTAAAAGTAACCAAATGACATTGACAAAATTCTTTTACTTTTCCTTCCTAGCCAAATTCAAAAGGAAGGATGATTCTGGAGTCATCAGAAAGGGTTCATACAAAAGGTCTGTCAAGGGAAACGACATGTCATCAAAGACGTATCTAGAAAAAGAAAGTGATTGGTGTTTGCTTTTCTAGCATGGATAGGAGTAGTAATCTACCAGTCAGTAGCTGTATTACAGGTAGTCTAAACATCTGGCCATTGCTGAAGCCAAAGTAGAGGAAGGAATTGGATTCCAGAAAAGGGGTTGCTGAAGCTGGCTTGGTTTCTAGCCAGTTTATCCACAGGAGTCAAGCTGCTTAAGATTGTAGGGCTGAAAAGGCCTTGGGGTTTAAAAATAATAAAGCCCAAAGTGATTAACCCTTTCCTAACCTCTCATTTCTTCCTAATCTCACTCCTTCCACCAGCCGTATCAAACAACTGCTTGCAAGGGGGAAAAAACCTGAACCTCCTTATGCAAATAAGAGCAGCTGGGGAGACATTTTGGAGTACAAAGGCAACTGTGAGGGGAAAGATTAAGCACTTTGCCTCCTTCAGCATATTTTGGTTCTCCATCCATCTCCCAAGTTGATTTCCCCCATATCACCTCCTACGATTTGGATAATGCTTAGTTTAATCCTTACAGGCATTTCTTATCACAAGGTTCAAAGCAACATTTCTCTCTGTTCAAAGTTGTGGGCTCTTTTTCTCATACCAATAGTTCAAATTAAGAAATTGCTTTCTATTAGCTCATTTGTATGTTCACCGACAAGAAACCTTATCCGGAATCTCAAATGAAACACTTCCAGAACCCTTATTACTGGATTCTTTTAACTGGGCGATCTGGGGCTGAACTCCAAATTTCTACAGGCAAAACATCACCTCTGCTATTATGCTATGGCTTAGCCTAAAATAAAGAACAGTCAGATTATTTTATTAAAAGATGCCATGGACGTGATTTTTTTAAGCAAAGCAGATACTCTGTCACAAAGCAATGGGTTTCTTCTGATTTAGTTATGTTCATATTAATATTCATAAAAAGGTTTACTCTTGCTTCAGAATATTTATTTATTTAGTTAGTTAGTTAGTTAGTTAGTTAGTTAGTTAGTTAGTTAGTCAGTCAGTCAAGCATGTATGAAAAAACAAGTATAAGTATGAACATAATATATAAACATATACATATAAACAGGTTTAAGTATAGACATAAGAAATGAGTAAGACTAAATGGAAAAAATAGGACAGGGACGGTAGGCATGCTGGTGCCCTTATGCATGCCCCCTTACAAACCTCTTAGGAATGGGGTAAGGTCCACGGTAGACAGTTTAAGGTTAAAGTTTTGGGGGTCTGAGGATGTAACAACAGAGTCAGGTAGTGCATTCCAGGCATTGACCACTCTGTTGCTGAAGTCGTATTTTCTGAATAGCCTGAATGGGACAGTAGTGAAGCATTAGATAGAATATGGGGGCCAAGGTTTGGGCGGCTGAAGACTGAATTTCAACATTTTCTTTCAGAATTGTGAGCGCAAAGCTACCCAGTTTGGACTGCATGGCAGCAAAGAGATCCAGAAAATTCTAATAGTTGCCAAGAATTCTGCTGCTCAGATCTTTTGGCCCTGTTTAGATTTGCATGGCCAAAGCAATGATGGAAAGAATCCCAAACTGCACTACAGCTTTGTTTTTGTTTTTTTAACATTTAAATTAAATCTACATTAAGCTTTACATTACAGTTTTTGGTTTTTTTCAATAGCAGAAAACATATAAAGAGAATCCTAGACAGCACAGAGTACAGGTAGTCCTAGACGAATGTCGCAGTTGGGACCAAAACTTCCTTTGTTAACAAGGCAATTGTTATATGAGTTTTGTCATTGTTGTTAGGTGAATCTGGCTTCTCCCATTGACTTTGCATGTTGGAAGCCAGCTAGGAAGGTCACTAATGCTGTAACCATTCTAAAGCAATGCCAGTTGTGAAACAACCAAATTTTGATCATGTGACCGTGGGGAATACTACAATGGTTATAAGTGCAAGGACTGGTTGTAAGTCACCTTTTTTAGAGCTGTTGTACCTTCAGACAATCACTAAACAAATGGTTGTAAGTTGAGGACTCTCTGTAATCCAAATATTTATCTGGGCATACAGTACATATTCTTCCAATCCGACAATAACATTCATTATACTATGATGTTTTTCCGAAGGGCAGCACTAGTCAACATTTCGGGTCATCAGTGCAATTAAACACAGATTTTATATTATAAACTGGTTCTGTAGACTGTGGTCAGATTGAGCACTTTCCCTGGCTGTCTGAATCCACTGCATGTCAACTAGAGTGAAAGCAGTCATCTGAACAGATCATAATTTAAAAGCCTTTTGTCTGGGCTGCACATTATTCCTATCAGACACAAGGACTGGCATGGGAAATCACCCACAGTAAAATAGGTGTCAGCTGTGAAAATATTGTTTTAATTACCTGCTTGAATATGAATAGCGGCATCAATTCTTTTGTTCTTTATATCCTTGAACTTCCTGCGAGTATCATATCCTCTCCAGGCTAAAAATACAAAGTCATATGTTGTGAATTATACTGGTTTAAAAGAAAAGTCTATAGAATGAGAAATGTGCCACAGTGTGATCTGTACCCCCTTCCCATCCAGGCACTATCCCAGTGGAACAGCCTGTTGAATGATCAGAATCTGTCTCAGAAGCTCCTTCCCTGTAACTATGGACTTTTTGCATGGCGTGTTCTGTCATTCGGCTTAGCATCTCCAGCAGAGAAATACGCAAGAGTAGTTATTGACTGCTGAATATAATTATATTTAAAATAACATTGTAGCAATAAAGCTGAATTGTTGAAGAAGTAGACAAGAGGAGGCAGTTGAATAGCGTCTAACTCTATCTTCCTACAAATGCCAAGCCATTTTAATATCAGAAATATATATTAAGAGGTCAAAGGACAAGACAGATGGATACCATCACTCATACTAATCTATTCAGATACTCTGTAGTGTATGTCTTCCCTAAGGAATCTGCAATAAGCCATAAACCTGGTCCATGTCTATCTGCACTGTTCTTAGTATCAGATACGGCACTGACAGAATGAAAAATATTTAGAAACATTTGTTTCCAAAGATTATGGCATTCTAGCACCATAAATATATTCAAATATGAATGTTTTGTTTCCAAACAATTTATCTCAAGGAAAAGGATTACATCCATGCAGTGAACAGGAAGCTTAAGAGCAGGCTTTCTAGCAGATGACCCATAGATCTCATCCAATTATCCTGACATCAGGCTCATAGGATGCCTGTCTCTCCTACTATCCATTTCCAAAGTTCCAGAAGAAAGGTGAAGGGTTGTATACAGGTTGCCCTTGACTTTCAAACGTAACTTACAGATGGTAAGTAAGGACAATAGCTAAGTGGGTCATCAGGTGACTATATACAATTTTAAATTGTATTCATAGAATCATGGAATCATTGAGCTGGAAAGGACCTCAGAGGTCTTCTAATCCAACCCCCTGTTCAAAGTAGGAGTCTTATACCATCCAAGTCAAATCGTTGTCCAGTCTGTTTTTGAAAACCTCCGGTGATGTAGCATCTTACAACCCCAGAAAGCTATTTCATTGATTTTTACTGTCAGAAATTTTTCCTTACTTCTAGATTGTATCTCTCTTTGACAAGCTTCCACCCTTTACTTTTTGTCTTGCTCTCTGGTGTCCTAAAGAATAAGTCTATTCCTTCTTCTTTGTGACAGCCCCTGAAGTTCTGGAAGACAGTTATTCTGCCACTCTTGATCCTTCTCTTTGATAGGCTAGACATACTTAGGTTCCCTCAACCATTCATCATACGACTTAGCCACCAGACCCTTTATCATCTTTGATACTCTTGGCACACTTTCCAGGTCTCAACGTCTTTTTTTGTATTTGTGGTGGCCAGAACTGGACACAATATTCATGTGACTACAGGACACTGTAAGTGGCCATAAATGTGGGCCAGTTAGCAGGCATCCAAAATGAGGCCACCTGATTGCAGGGGAGGGAAATTGGCCATTGGAACTTTGAATCCAGGCCGTAAGACCTGTTTCAGGGTTCATTGTAACTTTGACCGGTTGCTTAGCGACCGGTTGTAAGTGGAAGACTACCTGTATTTAAAAAACCCAAAGAGACACTTTATTTGCAATTTAACAGTTTGAAACTCTGGAATCCTCAGTGATATAGAAAACCCAGAATATTTACCTGACTGAATGGTAATAGCGCTGTTGGTTCTTTTCTGTTTGAGTTTTTTGTACCTTTTAGCTCCAAGCCAGCCTTTGGTGTAAGCCTGCATTATCACCACCCTGCCTATAACTTCACGCAGATACAAGTTCAGTTGTTCAACATGATAGTATTTCAGGAAAACCTGAAACAAAACAGCAACATCACATTATCTGATAGATCAGTAAATTAATTCACGAAGATAGGTCTACAGTGTGATAAGAAGGGGAGGCTTGATCTGATCTGTCAGGATGATGGCAGCTTTCCAAGCAACATTAGTGTAGCATTTTGCAAAGGAATAGTTACTGTTCTTTCTAATGGAAAATATGTTGTTCCTTAGCTCAGCTCAGAACTCCTTTTGGCAAACCTAGTGCCCGTGTCCTCAAAATGCATAAGTTGAAATGGATGAGAGCTAGCTAGGTACAGTATAATGGTGAAAGTGCTGGTTTAGAAAGCAGGTGACTGTGACTTCTAGTCCTATTTTAGGCATAAAAGATGGCTGGGTGACTTTGGGCCAGTTATTTTCTTTCAACCCAACACACCTCACAAGGTTGTTGTGGGAAAAATAGAAGGCAGAAGTATTAATTACTTAGCCACCTTGAATTGACCAATATATTCTGTGTGTGTGTGTGTGTGTGTGTGTGTGTGTGTGTGTGTGTGTGTGTGCATGTCTGTAGCAGAATTTATTATTATAATTATTACTTGTCTTTCTAAGGTCAAAAATACAAGCCATAGTATTTCCTATGACATTCAATAGAAGCAAAAATTGGACTTGAGAGAAGCAGGATAGGAACAGCATTGATGTCTTTGAACTTTGGTATTAAGGAAGACTCTAGTTTAAGAATTCTTTACAAATTCTGAGGACAGTCAAGAAAACAAACCAATGGATCATTGAATCAATCAATCCATAATTCTCACTTGAGGAACAAATGGCCATGCTCCACTTATTCTACATTGGACACATTATGCAAGGACTAAGCTCTCTGGAAAAATCTGTAATGCTGGGAAAGGTAGAAGGAAAAAGAAGAGGATGATCAGCAGCAAGGACTCCTTACAATGGCAATGACTACAGCAAGGGTAAACTTGAAAGAATAAGTTAGAGATAGACGTCGTGGAGAAAATCTATCTATGTGGTTGCTAGGTGACTTGATGGCACATAATCAATCAAGCAATATCAAATCTAAGTTCAGATCCCAATGCAGAAAGCAAGTGGAATGGGAAAGGAGACGCTTCTCTCTAAAGTAACTTCTAGGAACATTTGCAGGAAGGTGACTTTTGAGAGGACTGTAGGCTGTGTATATATAACCATTTTGTCAGCCAGACTGCCACTGAGGTAACTCTTCATGAAAAAAATATCTTTAGGCTATTTATAATAGGGATGTAGCATAGACATTTGCATGAAGTGATAGCAGGCTGATTTGATGTCCAGGCTCTAGTACATAATGCAATATCTATGTGGTTTGGGCAGTGACTGCAAAGCTTTAAAAAATTGAAATGAATTCAACACTTATGCTCAGAAGAGCCAAGATAGTCATACATCATTTCAAAACAACAAAACTAAACAAAATCATGAAATATTAATTCAAATAGGAAAGGCAATATAGTCATAGGCTGGAATTATTTCAGGATGCTTTAAGGTTATTTGAAACCTCTTACCTAAATTTCAAAATATGTGGAAAGTCACAGCTTAAATCATTTTTACAAGAGGCACTGCACTATTATAGGATATTGGTCATGAAGGTCAAATGGAACTCAATGTTCAAAGGTAGCATATCTGTGGACATCAAGTGCTTGGGGGAAAGTAGAAGAGAAACACTTGGTGCCATTTGTTCCCCTTTACTGACTCCCCAAATGTACTTAGGAAAAGAGATGTTGGACTACATAGATTTTTCATCTCTTAGATATAGTGACCACACATCCTTTATTACAAAGGTCAGTCCTTGTTTTTCAGAAAGCTATCTAAAGATTTATTTATTTTTCAAAATCTCACTTTGGTCCTTTATTTTAGTCATTTAGCTTCACCGTACAAAAGCTGCCACCTGATGCACAGTTTTTTCACACTCAGGTAAAAATATAAATTAAAAAAAGTCTCTTTAAAATAAATGTACATATATTGTTTGATCTTAAATATTTTTATTAGAATACTGCATGTTTCAATACCAGATGCAAGCAACATTCTACACAAGAACACCTAAGATCATCTTCACACTGTCTTAGCAGCCATTTCATAAATAGATGGGACATGTCCTCATCACATGATAGGTGGAGGAACATCCATGCCAGAACAAACAGATTGTGTGAATGAACTGTTAGATGTGACATTACATTCTGCTGAGCTATAAACAGGTCTACCAATTGGTTCTTGTTTATAGCACTGGCCCTTATTGCACACTGTCAATAGCATCTTACTTCAACGGTTAGCATCCCAGAAAGACTATTGTTTCTCAAGTATTTCTCATATAAAAAGGGAAGGGATTCCTTAAGAATGCCAATGGACCACAATAAATAATTCCATTTTCTTATGAGAGCATATGGTATGTCCATGTCTTTTGAAAAGCAGTGTCCCATGCCTTTTAAGTGAAGGGACTACAGTATACTGCAAGAAATACAGTACAATCAGCTTTTAGACATAAGTTGTAAAGAATGTTTTTTAAAGATAACATTAGTTTGAATATCTTGCACAACAGTACTAAATATTACAGGACTTTCATTATGATTGTATCTTCGGCTCCAAGAAATTTAAAATGGAATTTATCCTACCTTTGTTTTCCCAAGAACCCACTTGTCTAACTTGGCCTTTTGAAGAATAGCGATGCAGTTTTCTTTGCTTGGAGAAGGATTCTCATGTGCTTTGAAAGCAATGTAATAATATCTACAGAAATATAAATGATAACCAAGATCAAATTTGAAAAAGCAAATTGTTTACTATGGCACAGAAAATCTTGCAAATAATATGGATTAGGATTCCATGAATCAGAGCAATTGCACATGGACTAGTCCCTACAGTTTTCTTGGCAAGGTTTTTCAGAAATGGTTAGTCATTGCCTCCTTTCTAGGGCTGAGAGAAAGTGACTGGCCCAAGGTCATCAAGCCGACTTACTCTAAAGCAGGACTAGAACTCAGGGACTTCTGGTTTCTAGCCTGATACCTTAACTACTACACCAAACTGGCTCTCTCACTATATTGTATATGGACCCAAACCTATGTCCCCATCCCACAAAATCACCTGCCAAAAGGCAGGAATATGTCTAAGAGCCATCAGAAAACCAATAAGCTTTTTGGGATGGGGCATTTTAATTGGATTAGAAAGGGTCAGTGCTCCCATTAAATCTAAATCTTACCAGACCACAAGAAGAAAACTTAAAATGTTTCTTCACAGCCAACTCATCTTCATTCACTTCCCTTGACTTTGTAAAAGTGATTTATGTATGTTTAAAACAGCAGAATGCCATAATATATGTTTGGCATATGATATATATGGCCATATTTAGGCTTAACTAATTTCAGGATTTCAATAAATTTCATTTATTTTGAAATTTTATTGGAGACATTAAAAGCTAAAGGCAAGGGTTTTTTTTCTTTAAAAAACATGTGTTTTAATATCAATTCTAAGGTAATGTCGGGAGCATCAACTTGCTATATTTAATGGGGATGCTCCAAATTACTTAATAACATTTTTTCTTCACCAGCCTTAAAGCTGATGTTCATTTAAAGCATTAATACATCACTATTTCAGGTACTATTGCTTTTTTTTTTAAGAGCAGATTGGTGACACTGAAAGATAACAGCACAGATTCACTCAATGTGTGTCAAGGCTACAATTAGTTTACAGTAAAAATGACTTCCATATCCATCTTCATTAAATAGGAGTTATTGGTATGGGAAGGGAGGCAGAGGAGAGAGCGAGAATGCAATCAAAGGCAAAAAAAGATTCTGCCTCTACAATAAAAAGAAATAAAAGAGAATGAATGGTGAAGTTAAAAGCAATTGACTCTGCTCATCATACCACTCAAATATTGTCTACTCCCACTTGGAAGGGTAGCTGGCCGATCCACCCTTCAGCCTCCCTGTATAGTACAGTATAGTTGAATTGTGAGTGGCCCCAAAATGGGCCCTGCTTCATGTATGGTGCCACAGGGCCTCCATGTAGAAAGACGATGTAGTGGCTCACCTGCTTTTCAAAGGAGAATTGGACCCAGCTATGATGTGGGTTGTGGAGAAGGGTGTGGGCCCAAGACATGCAAGGCCCCAGCAATGCAGGAAACAGGCCTACGGCCTGCGGGGCTCCAGGGTGGAAGAAAAGCACAGATGCCTCAGGGGATGAGGCTCAGGCAGCCCACCTGTGAGTTGGCGGGTGATTGCAATGTGGGCCTGGCCCTGTGCTCGGCCTTCCAGGGCTTCCACCACCCCTGAGGCACTCCATGTTCTGCTTAATGGTGCAATAGTGAGAGCAGGGATTATGGTCATAGATCATATGGGCACCTTGCTTAATGACTGCCACGAATTACGATAATAATGGGCAGGCTCCATTATAGTTGAAGGTCAAGGAGTACCTGTATTATGCTTGAGTGTGCCATATGCACTTCATTATTTTTGAGTTTATAAAACTTTGAAACCCTTTTTTTTTTTGCAGCAACCAGCTATGTGTCTCTTTCTAAGCATACCATTCTGCCTTGTGCATCATACCATAATTCAGGTAGTACTCTATTTGGTGGAAGAACAATCAAACTGAATGTGATTTACTAAATACAGAATTAACTGGATGTCTCAAAGACACCATTATAGGATTAAAATGTTGTCTACAAAGTAACATGAAACTAAAAAAAAGAAAAGAAAAGAAAATCTGATAATTCCCCATGTGAAAGCAAAATGTTTTACATATTGTTTTAAAGGAATAATAACAGAATGAATAGTTTTTTGGGGGGGTGGAATTGAGAATTTCTATGTTTATTAAAAAATGATTACCACAATCTTCCAGAAACCATAGCCACACTCTCTCTCACACACACATATGCATATATGTATGAGACATACATATATGTTTACTGAGAATTATGTATATAAAGATTTTTTTTATCAAACATATTTTACATTCCTTGTTAATACAGAAGTGTAATATTCAGTGGTGGGATTCAAAACTTTTTACTACCGGTTCTGTGGGTGTGGCTTTGTGGGCGTGGCATGGCTTTGTGGGCGTGGCAGGGAAAGGATACTATAAAATCTCCATTCCCACCCCACTCCAGGAGAAGGATACTGCAAAATCCCCATTTCCTCCCGATCAGCTGGGACTCGGAAGGCAGAGAATAGATGGGGTCGGGGCCAGTCAGTGGTGGTATTTACCGGTTCTTGGAACTACTCAAAATTTCCGGTACAGGTTCTCCAGAACCTGCTGAATACCATCTCTGGTAATATTACTCAGTTCTCTAGTAGTTGGAGAAGTTTTCCATCACCACCAAATACTTTACAGTCCCCATTCTAAAGGCCATCAGATGCATAAGACTTCCATATGGCCAGAATAATGTAATATTCCTTAATTATTCATAGCTTAAGAATGTACTTCAAAGTAAACCCTATTTATTTTAATCATAGTACTATACTATGATCCTAGACAGCTAAAATATAATCTTATGTGTACATATTCATACATTAAGTACATTTAAGTTTTTCTCTACCTTATTCCTCCTTTAAAACAAATTTGGCAGTCAGTAACTAGTGAGAAGACCTTATCAAATGTCTCTAGAAGGCTGGAAAAACTTGCTTTTTGGGCACCTATATTATCCCAGACTTTTAAAATATCATCTAAAATTGATTTTAATCTGTTTCTTAGATCAGAGTTCCCTAACTTTTCTGGCTTTGTGGACCGGCCAAGGGGATGGGATGGGGGGAAATAGGGGAGAAAATAATAAAGAAAATTGTGGTTATGGCAGCAATTATTTCATATATAAGAATCATATTTAATAAAACAAGGGCAGTAGGTCTATAGAAGCCAAACATTTTCCCAGCTTCTAGGTAATATTTATTGGACCAAGATATTTAGATTGCTAACAGCTATATAATATCCGCTAGAAAGATAGCAAAAATGAATAAATAAGTAAAGAGCAAGATTCTTATGAAATGGGTCATTTTGAAAAGTCTAAATTCTTATATCTAAAGAAGTTTGATAAAGGCACATTTTAATAATATATGCATTTGATACCTCATATGCATAGATACACTTTTAAAAACAAGTAATTATACAGGAGTATAGTAGTTTCACCACACCGATCACCTGAGCGGTGTGGCAGTTCAGTCTATTGTTCAGATGCTGTTCAGACAAAGTTAAGTCTTTGGTTCTCTGTTCATAAAATTCTTTGAGATTAAATCAGACTTGGATCAAGTAGTTTCCCCAAAGAAATCATTTTTCCTGATATTCCATACCAAACAGCATCTTCTGTAAAATGTAAGATATTCCCTTCCTATTTGAAGAGTCATCATTTAGGGCACAATGGTTATATTACAGATGCCCTAAGTACTTCATTTTATTTTTAATTATTTAATTAAATAAAACAATTTCTGAAGAAATAATGATCACATTAAAAAGCGCAACACAAGTTTGCTTTGATACAAGGAAGTAGAATAAATAACAAATTATTTTATACTTTGTAAAAGGTGATGTTAGTAATTATATCATTACTAACACTCCCACAACTAATAATGTCTTTTCCCCTATCACTTTATCCTACTTCACAAATCTTGAGTTTTTAGCAGCCACCCGATATCAAGGCTCCTTGCCACCCTCCCCCAACGCATTGCATGGACCTGTCATCATGTAAATGTTCTCTTAACATACTTGCTTGCATATGAATAGTGTAATTCAGCAGAAGATATGCACTCAGTTCTATAATAAATGGCCCTTCTGAGAGATTTCACAAGCCAGGAAAATTTAAGCCAAGATCAAAGCTAGGGGACTTGTCCTGATGCACTTGTATGAGTCTCATTAGCATTAACAAATAAAGGGTGGAATGCAAATCTAAGTGCCTCTATTTCCATTTTCACAAAAATTAAACAAGAAATAGGGCTCTAACTGCTTCTGAAAATACGATGCTGGTGCAAAAAACGTTTTCATTTTCTGTACTTGGTGTTTCCATTTACAAAATAAATATTTATGTGAGGAAGGAAGGAAGGAAGGAAGGAAGGAAGGAAGGAAGGAAGGAAGGAAGGAAGGAAGGAAGGAAGGAAGGAAGGAAGGCCATTTGCATATTTAGCTAAACATATCCTACCCCTGTAGAAAAAATATATAAATTATGTTGAACTGGGTAGGAACAGATAATTTAACCCACCATCCTACATGGATTTATGTAATGGTAAGTCCCACTGCTTTCAATGAGTTTTATTCTATAACATGGTAAGTGCATTTAGAAAAACGATGTTAACAATCCTTTTTTTTTTTTTTGAGAACAATGTCTTAGGAACAGCTGCAAATGAGGAACTGTAAAATATGGGCCACAATCTATCTCCATTATTCTTGTCTAACAACATTAAACAAAAACTATGTGAAAAACTATTGTTCAGTGCTCACTTATATTCATGTTAATGACTCCAAAAAACAGCCCTCACTTAAAGAGATCCACAGGATTTATTATATTCTTTAGAGAATAGAGCTGCTCAAACTTGCTGCTACCTTTCCAAATTTCCAATATTCCTTTATAATAATGATAGACATTCAATAGCCAAGAGTGACACAGTTTACTAATTATAAGCTGCTCAGTGTATGTGAATGTGCAGCTATATAAATTGAATAAATAAAGACAGTGCATCCTACCCTACTGTGTTTCTGCAGCAAATGTTTGGCAGTTAACATAGAGAGGGGAATTCCAAAGCAGTCAGGTATAGACAGCAAGAAGATCTATGGTAGGCTGCCCAAGAACTTCTCACTGTTCTGGCTAGCAGACCATAGCTGCATACATTTTAAATCAATTCTAATACAGACAAATGTAAGCCATAATACATTTTAAAAATCTATAAGGTTAAACAGGGTGCTTCATGTAATTGTATGTTTTGATTTCTATGACCTGTTCCCTATTATTTTATTATTATTATTATTATTTATCGGACTTATATGCCGCCCTCTCTCCAAAGGACTCAGGGCGTCTCACATCAGCGAAACAATTCCAACAAATACACATTAAAACATACTAAACAGACTAAAACCAATTTAAAATCAATTTAAAACAGTAGACCCCATCAGTCCAGGCTAGGGCATTTAAACAGCCATGTCTTAAGCTCGCAGTGGAAGGTACGAAGGTCCGGGGCCAATCGAAGACCCAAGGGAAGTTGATTCCAGAGGGTGGGTGCGCCCACAGAGAAGGCTCTACCCCTGGGGGTCGCCAGCCGACATTGTCTAGCCGACGGCACCCTGAGTAGGCTCTCTCTGTGAGAACGCACCGGGTGATGGGAGGTCGATGCTGGTTGCAGGTGATCCGACAGATATCCTGGGCCTAAGCCATGAAGGGCTTTATAGGTCAACACCAGCACCTTGAATCTCACCTGGAGAGCAACCAGCAACCAATGCAAGTCGCGCAGGAGAGGTGTAACATGGGAGTATCGGGATCCTCCCATCACAACGCACATAAAATTCAATTGTATGGCACTATATTTGTATACATGATCCTAAGTGGTTTAGAGAAAACTAGTTATAGATCAGAAACATGGAACCAAAACGAATGATTTCTGATTCACACACCTAAATTACAAATTCATGGAACTGATCTTTCAGAATTTCCTCTATGATGCTTTATCATGGATAAAGGGGAAAAGTTTGCTCAATCCAAGACACTTTGCTGTCCGAGACAAAAGAGAAGCCAGTAAGTTTCCTGTTAGATTTAAGGATTTTATTCATTTATTTGTTGAATGTATATGTATCCATTGCTCAGTCCCAAAAGACTCTGGGCAGTTTAAGATTTAAGGATTTAAGTTTGCTAAATGCCATGGCAGTTGACTCTTACTTCAAATCTATGGGTGGTATTTTCTACCACATTTAAGGTCATCAAATTAGTTTAAAGGTATAGAAAAGATCACAAAGCACTCGCAGCCCTGCCCTTGACATCTTGTAGCTTTTTGTTGTCCCACGCCTATTCCCTGAAATTGTCCTCTTGTTCCATCAAACAGGTCCAGGCAACTAGAAGTCTGACTGGATGACTAGGAAGTCTTAAAATAATGTCAAATCTCAAGGTATTTTGTTGTTCAATTCTTGGAGATTGCCTGGAAAAGTCCTTGAAGTTTTCTTAGAAGTTGTTTGCCCTAGCTAGCTACCTAGCTTCCTTCCTTCCTTCGTAGGGCTGAGAGAAAGAGTCTAGCTAGCTCAAAGTCACCCATCTGGTTTTGTGTCTAAGGTGGAACTAGAACTCATGGTCAATTTCTAGTCTGATGCCTTAAACACTAGACCAAACTGGTTCTCTTCCCAGATACTTAGTCATTATATAAACTATACTTGAATATGCTCAAGTACAAAAACCCAACTCTCCAAGATTGAAACATGCCACTGAAAGGAAGTTCCAAGGTTGATCCCAAATACATGTTTAATTAATTAAGGATTTTGAACATAATTGGCTAAGATAATTTGTATCAATTAAATTTGGTGTTTCCAAAGTAACTTCCAGGCTTGCCACATAAAATAGCCTCATACACATGAAAACCAGACGGGCAAAGCATCAAACAAAAGTTGAGCTTTTATTTACCTCAGCCTAATTGTCTGTTTCCTGACTTTGAGTGCTATGTACTCATCTTTCCTGCTAAGGGTTTACAAAACAGCAGCTACCAGAGATAAGGAGTTTGCCTATTCCTAAGAAATGTGCTTATTCATTAAGTAACATCAAGGGGAAAATGCTTCATTTATTTTGTTGGTAAGTTGCTGAAATGGATTAAAATATAAAGTCATTGGCTTAGAAAAATCTTTGATATCCTTAGTTTTACTGACATTTCGAAACTCTTGTTTATACTTGCCTATTTAACAAAAAAGGATGAAGTGCCATTGCATTTAGCATCTGGGCCTGTTTTTCTGAAATGTTTTTATACATTCCTTATACCTTATCATATATAACAGAAGTAAAATGTGCAGGTTATGCCACCCCAACTCCACAAAGGGACAAAACATCGTGAAACATCACGTAACGGCAATGTGATGCCGCAAGTTTGACACCCATGCTTTAGGAAACACCAAAATTGTTGTGCATAAATCATACATGCTATCATGAGCTGCAGACATATACTACAAGTATATCTAGATGAATCCACCTAGTTGAAATGTTAAAGGGGCTGTGTAAGTACAAGTGGGTGGGAATATCTATTTTTCCCTGGCAATTTGCTGCTGCTTTTATTTTTAATTTATTAAAAAATTCTGGCATTCAATGGAAGGAAATTAAGCATGTTAGAGCTACTAATGTAGCTGGAGACCTGACCCCAAGTCCTCTCAGAGACCCAAAGATCTTTAGAATTGAATGGTCCAAAACTACCTATGCCTCAAACCTGAAAGGCTATGTCTTGGGAACATCAACTGATACAGGTATTATCTTTAAATCTAAACAGCATTATCTGTCCAGATACAACCGTGTGAGCTGGAAGAATTCCTGTTGCCAAAGAGATGCTTTTTTCACCTCATACTAACCTTTACCAGCCAATGTATCGGAGGCTTACACGTAGTTGGTCTATAAATATATTATTGTACTGATGGATGGTAGCTCTCTAGATTATTACCATTGAATGCCTCTTGAGAAGTCATTCAATTATCTATCTTCTGACCCATCAAACTCTCTGCAGACTTTCTCTGCCCTTGGTTATTAAACAGGTCTTCAAGTTTGTGGCTAAACTGATTGGTTGAAGAGTATTCTGAAGATAGATGCCAGTTATTTGCATGAAAATTGAAACAAGGAGTTGTAATATCCTGCATAACAATGAGTTAAGGTCTTAAAGAATGTTAAATATGCACCTTTAATCTTTAATTATATCCAAATCAACAAAGCATTTTTCCTAGTGGATATCTTGAAAAAGGTTTATTAAGAGGTAGGTGCAACCTCATATGATCACATGGACATCGGACTGTTCCATGGTTGTTTCCTTTTACCTTAATATTCACAAGTTATGGATTGGGAAGAAAAGGAAGATTCAAGAATGCTATTGTAAGGCTGAGCTTTATACCAAAATTCATATATTCCAAAAATTTGGAACGTATGAAAAACTCTGGATGGCTTGCAGCTAAAAATGGTTTCAGTGGAAATATTCTGTAACTACTTGCTTTAAATCTTGGATTGATGAAAAATATTTACTCTCATCTGTTTCATATGAAAGAGAGAAAAATCTCACCAATACTACTAAGGTGGTCAAACAACAGGTTAGCCTGTTGTTTAAAAATGTTTTCGTGTATAGTTTCTTTTTTTCCCCTTTGCTTTCCCCTCCTCCCATTCTGATTATTTGATTTCTGTTAAACTTCTTTCTTTCTTTCTTCATTTTATATGTCATATCAATTATTTTTCAGAAAAAGTAGAAATGAACCTGGTTCAATGGAAGACCTTCATGGAACAAATGAGAAAATTTGAGAAAATACACTAGAAGGCAGTGGAAATCTATTCTCTAATATTATCTACTATCCAGGACAACTGTGTGGATGCCTCCATAAACTCACCAGGAGATTTGCTCAATTCAAAAGACATGTTATTGTTTAACTGATCAATATATTCTCCACATACTGGGAAGAACCTCGATAACAAATCTGCCAAATTTACTTTGTCTAGTAAAAGACAAAGCTGATCTACTCAAAGTACATCATACAACTGATAAATTTAACCTGTCCTGAATTGCCTCCTGTTTTCCAATATTTGTATCTTGCCATTTGTGGAATTGTCAAATATAGGTTTTGTTTTGTTTTTGTTAATCAAAACCTCCTAAAACTATGTTTTTAACATTATAAAAGAGGAAGAATTTTTTTAAAAAATGTTTTCTTCTCTTGACTGCATAACTCCTGCCCCGATTCACATTTTTGTGGGATGGGCAGCCATATAAATATGATATATATATAGCCACCTAATTTTATCCCTGTCTGTTTTCTGAATTACTACAATCTAGGAACTGGTGAACGAATGGGCTCTGTATAATGTAGCCTTCAATCCTACTCCAAAGCCATTTTTAAGGGCAATTCTTTAGTATAAAGCATGAATAGCTTACCTTTTTACAAACTCATCAAAATGAATGCGATGAGAATATCCTTGCTGACGTATGTTGACAGTCTCTAAAATGCCAGTATAGCGTAGCTGCACTAAGACTCTCTCTTGGGAAAATTTCAATGCCTCTCGGTCATCATTGGGCTTAATACAGCGAACAAAGTGAGGTTGCCCGATCACCATTTTAGACAACAGATCCATCAGAGAATACTAAGGAAAGGAAAGCATAATAAAATATAGCACAAAAGTTCCATTTTCTTCAAAGGAAATTATAATTTGGGCATCCTTTTTCTAGATGTTTATTTTATTTTATTTTATTTATTTATTTGTCAACAAGTACAAGGAAACAAGTAACAGTATAGACATAGACATGGACACATGAAAAAAATTGGCACAAATAAAAGGATATAAATAGGCAAAACATAGCCATAAACACATAGAATGATTACATATAAATGCAGACAGTAGGACAGGGACGGTAGGCACTTATGCACGCCCCCTTAGGGATCTCTTAAGAAACATGAAAGGTCCATGGTAGACAGTTTAAGGTAAAAGATATGGGGATTAACAAGACTAACAACAGGATCAGGTAGAGTGTTCGAAACATTAACTACTCTATTGCAGAAGTCATATTTCCTACAATCAAGATTAGAGCGAATTACATTGAGTTTGAATCTATTGATAGCCCTTGTGTTATTACAGTTGAAATTAAAGTACTCATTTACAGGTAGGACTTTTTGGTAAATAATCTTATGATCTAAGCATAGGTCAGAACATAGACAGTGTAGTTCAAGGCTATTCAGACCTAAAATTTCAAGCCTGGTGGTATAGGGAATTTTATTTTGAGCAGAAGATTTGAGTAGTCTTTTAGTAAAATATCTCTGGACCCTCTCTAATGTATTGATGTCTGAAATACAGTGAGGATTCCAATGTTCTAATAAGATACAACAGACTCATAAATATGTTTGAATCCCTTTTAAAATCTGCCTTCTTCTTACCCAGTTATTCACTGCCAAACAAGCTTTACCTTAAGAGTTTTCCTTTGACCTCTGTCTCTCCTCAATTTTACTTAATAATTAAGCCATTTGCTGATGTTCATTCATCCCTGCCTTGTCCATTGAAAGGAATCCCTTCTGGCAAGCCTTGTGTATGTTCAGCACAGTTCCAGGAATACTGCCAATATTATTTAAATGAGATGTTGGGAAAGCAGTGAAATTATAGTAGTACAATTTAAATTCCCTACCCTGAAATAGGAAGCCACAGTTTGTCTCTTCATGTTGGTGGTTTCCTCAGGGTGCCTCATAATTTCCATGGTGTCAATCTGGAAAACAAAAGCAGAGAGGTAAAAAAAATCTTGAGCCATCTGTTATTATGCTTAGGTGCATTGGGTGTGATATATGTGTTGGGAAAATATATCTTCAATATATTTTCCCAACATTGTTTCTATCCATTCAAGGACTGTGCATCCCTTTTGAGAATGTGAATGTAGAGAAGTTTCCTATTCCAAGAAAAATCACATGCTTGGAATTACAATGCGTACTAGAGATAGTCCTCGATTTACAGTCATTCGTTTAGTGACCATTCAAAGTTACAAAGCACTTCAAAAGGGACTCACGACCCATTTTTCATACTTACGACCATTGCCGCATTCCCCATAGTCATGTGATCAAAATTTGGATGCTTGGCCACTGGTTCAAAACCAGATTCACTTAACAACCCTGTCACTAACTTAAAATTTGCAGTGATTCACTTAACAATTGTGGCCAGAGAAGTCGTAAAATGGGGCAAAACTCACTTACAAATGTCTTGCAACAGAAATTTTGGGCTCAATTGTGGTCATAAGTCAAGGACTACCTGTAACCTCACTTTCACGTGCCTCTGCTCTCTTAGTCTCTGACAGCAATCTGGAGAGCAACCGGAGTTTAATATCATCATATTGTATGTACAGAGGCAAAAAGGTGTGTTTCAATGACTATCCTCAAACTCCCTCACAGTACTGACTTCTTGGAGGTCCCCAATTTTAGAGTGATAAAAATTTTGTAACACTTTTTTTTAAAGAATTCAGGATAAAGTTAGAAAGTAGTACAAAAAAGAGCACAGATCAATGTTGTGAATGTAGAAGGCCCCCGTTCGCTGCTGAGACACTCAGGACTTGGATAATCTCATACATCTGACAAAAACTCAGATAGGCAAATTGCTTGGTAATATATAGCTATACTTCTATTTACTCTTCACCAATATGATGGATGTCTTTTTGTTTTAGAGTAGGTTCTATGATATGGTTCTAAACTTTTACCTTTGTCAGAATAAATGGTCAACACTTTGAAAATGTACATTGCTTTGGGCCATTTGGTTAATCCAAATGCAAGAGCCTTGGTAGTACAGTGGTCTAAGGCACCCTGTTATTAAGCTGGTTATTAAGACCAGCTGCCTGCAATTACTGCAGGTTCAAATCTCGCCAAGGCTCAAGGTTGACTCATCCTTCCATCCTTTCTAAGGTAGGTAAATTGAGGACCCAGTTGTGAGGGCAATAAGCTGACTTTGTATAAATATACAAAAGGATGAAGGCTATTGCTGAGCGCATTGTAAGCCGCCCTGAGTCTCCGGAGAAGGGCGGCATATAAATCAAATTAAAAAAAAAAAAAGTTTTGCCCAGCTGGATTTTGCTTTTATTGCTATAGTTATTAAAGAGCTAAATGGTTTTATTCTTTTATATTTGTTTTAGAGTTCAACTTCACATGCAATCTGACAGAATTTTCACTCACTTTTTACACAACCCAAATCCACAGAATCATTTTTAAATGATTTTAACAGCTATCACTGTCCCATCCTAGAAACACCAAGAATGAATGGAAGGTCACAAGTGGTCCCACCAACTAACAGCAGAAATTAGCAAGCATTCAGACAGGCTCCTTAATTTGCCATTTGTTCCACTTTGTTTATCAAGTTTGTGTCATGATAAAGAACCTACCCAGAAGGTAGAGATCCTACCAATGTGGTATGTGCACCTCAAGCCTCAAAAGAAGAAGAAAACCTGTTTGCAGAGATTCCTTTTCCATTTTAGGACAAGAAAAGTTAATGGACTCTACTACTCAATATGGCATGTACAAGCTTAGAACTGCAAGTAGACATGCCTTAACCATGGCTATTTGAATGTCTCCCAATCTTTCTTTCTTCTGCATTCATCTCTCTACTTTCATTCTTCTTCGTTGCAAATAGTCTTCAACTTACAACCAATCATTTAATGACAATTCTCAGTTACAATAGTGCTAAAAAAAGCAACTTAGGACTGGTCATTACATTTAGAACCATTGCAATGCCCCCATGGTCATGTGATCAAAATTTGGGTGCTTGGCAACAGGCATGTATTTATGTATGTATTTATTATGTGTAGTGTCTTGGGCAGGGGTGAAATGCTCCCGGCTCGGACCGGATCACCCGATCCTGTAGCGATGGCGGTGGGTGGTTCAGAGAACTGGTAGCAAAAATCCCTGCGCTCCCCCCCATGCCCAGCTGAGCCGCGCAATCATTAGAGGCTTTTTTCCCTTACTTTTAAAAGCATTTTTTCTATAACCTCTTCGGCCGAAAAAATGTTTTTAAAAGTAAAAAAAAAAGTTGGCCACGCCCACCCAGTCACATTACCCCCCCATCAAGTCATGCCCACAGAACTAGTAGTAACAAATTTTAGATTTCACTCCTGGTCTTGGGCCATGTGATTACCATTTGTGATCTTCCCAGGGACCTCCAACAAGCAAAGTTAATAATGGAAGACAAATTTGCTTTACAACCGCAGCAAAATTGGGCGTACCTCAATTAACAATTGCTTCACTTAGCAATGGAAGTCCCAGTACTAATTACAGTTGTAAGTTGAGGGCTACCTGTAATCAGGTAGCACCTGCCCTCTGGAATAGCACCTCCCCTAGAGATCTGTTAGCTTTTTTTAAGGCATTAAAAACCTGGTGGTTCCTTTGGTCTTTGGGATGGGACGTTTAATGAGCTGTGTTGGTTATCTGCTTACTTCTAGTCTACAAGGGAGGATCTTCGGGTAGGGGGGTTCATAAAAACCTCCAGTTGAGGACCACAACCTGTTTCCACACCCACTGCTGACCATCTGGATGCCCCCAAGTCCCCCCTTTTTATCCCCAAGTCATCAGACAATGCAGCTGCTCTTGGTATGCTGCTGTGGCCAAGAAAATTATATGACCATATCCACCAACACTAAGATCTGAGGTTGACTTTAAAAAAAAAGTAAAAGATACAGACAGATATTTGTTTTAATCGAATCCATTTATTTAATAAAATAAACTCTCTTCAAGCAACAAAACCTGGTAATCTATCCTGTTTAAATAGTAGGGTAAGTTTTATGTACACACACATATATATGTATCTATATATTGTATGTATTTAGTGAAAAATCTATGTATTTCTCACTATGCATCAGAGGAAAAAAGGACAAACTGACTGGTTTATTGTCAGAACCAATATCAACATAACAACAAATGCAATATTCATTTACCTAGGTCACAATTATACAAAACAAGTGGAGTCTAGAAGCAAATGTTGTAGGATAAGATATTCCCTGTTCAGGATTCCAAACACTCTGATCCACTCCAGCTCCTGTTCTGTGGCCAGTTAGCACTTTTGTGATTCACTGAATTATCTTGTGTCTCCATCTCTTTAGAGTTTTTCTCTTCAGGTTTTTTTTTGGAGGGGGGAGACTTTATAAAAAAAATATCTCAGAGTGTCTTTAAGTCTACTGATACCATCTCCTGGTTCATACTAGTGCTACTTTGGTAACGTAGGGCACATACTATGGTAACAATCTGGAAATAAAAGTAATGATATACCACTTTGTAAATATGGTTTCAAAAGTTTTCCCCCTATTGGATTCAAAGATGTAGACTGTTATTATGATCTATGATGCATGATGAATCATAGCAGGATTAAATAATATGAAGAGATATCTATTGTCTTCTCACATTGCCTTGTCCTAGAATATTAACATTTTTATTTCCTTTTGGAGTAGTTTTCTATTACTCCATGTCATTAGTTGGTTCTTCCTGTCAAATTATCACTTTTCTAAATAAAAACCTTTTAAAGTGCTTCATCTCCCAAACAAATACATGAAATAGCAAGCACACTGTTACATGCCTTCATTATACTAACATTACAGCTGTTCTAAATTAAAAATAAATACATGCATCAGGCTTTGTGAATGAAAAAATTCTTCTCTAGTAGTTGCCAATCAAAAGCTGCTTTGTTTCATTGCATCACCCAAATGAAATAAGACAATCTGCTCCCTGTTCACATGGTGCTTAGAAACATTTTAGCACACACCCACACATTGTGGTAGTATGCCATCTGCTATGAACAGGTGGTTAACCTAAGAATATGTGAAGCCTTTGTGCAGAATTTTTAGCACCTGCTTTAAGCCCAGAGGCCACCACTTCACATCCTGTTTCCTAAGTCATGTCTGACATAATATTCTCAAAGGGGCCAAGAAGCAGAGGCATTGTCAGCCCTACCTGGTAAAACAGGCAGGAAACATGACTAGATGAGCTAATACTACTTTATTGAAAGGCTACATTAACAGAATTTTACAAGTCTGTTGATGAATTTTTGATCAGATACAGGTAGCCCTTGCCTTACAACCACAAATGTGACTGGAATTTCAGTTGTAAGTCAGTACAACTTCCTGCTGGCACCTTTAACTGCTTGATCCATTAGGGCGAGTCCTTCCTAAGGACCTTCTTCCTCTGACCTTTAAGCCACTGAGGGTTCCTACCTCTATTATCTGTACTGTTTCCTAGGCAGAGTCTCTTCCCCTTGTCCCCCAACATCACCCACTCATACCATTAAGAGATGGAAATGATGGCTGATCTCCAAATAGGAAGGCCATACCTTACTTTGAGGAGATACTTAGGAGTGCATACAAAACAGCTAGGAGAAGAAAGAAGCACTCAGGAGAATTAGAAGAGTGGGAGTGGATTTAAGATCAGACTCTTTGAAACAGTGCCAGGAAAGAGACAGTCAGATACAGAGAGGGGAGAAGGAAGGGGGAAATGTGGAAAAATAAAATCTTTTTTTTTTTTCAAAACTGAGCATAGTAGCTGTTTTCTTCCTCAGAGAACAACATAGTTTTCAAATGAAAATGTTTTTTTTTTAAAAAAAGCCCCTTTGCAAGACATTTTTAGGGATGACAGAAAAGTCCCATGTAAGGCTAGAGGAAAGAAATGCTGCCTCAGCAGGGGCAATGAGAAATGTAGGTCACGTAACCAAGGAAATGTCAACCTTCTAAATTCACATCTAAAAGGAAAGAAGCGAGGGAGATATTTCTGTGCAAAAACGTGCAACCTTTTTCTCTAGAGGAGAGAGGGGAAAGGATTCCAGTGCTGAACCCCATATTAGTGTGTTATAATATTGCTCCGTATTATCTTCTAAGGTTCTTTTAATCTCCAGATGCCAGCATTCAGGAAGATTGGTCTCTTTGGGCTAAAGACTCTATGGTTTACTTTTTTTTAATTTATTCTTTTATTTTTAATTCTACACACCAATAATTACTTCCCTGTCTCAAGGATTTTTTTTTTTTATCCAGTTAGTCTCTGCTAATTGAAAGACCCGATTTTCATTGCATTACTCTCTCCCTCTGCAGTTCACTTGTGTCACTCCAACTTTTCTCCAGAGAGTTAGGGACAACTCTCTTTGCAACAGCACAAAGATGGCACAAGGGAAGGGTTATTTAGGAAAGGGAGAGAGGTGTAATCAATTATACTCCTGTATAATTGATTACATTATGGGTAGTCTTCAACTTAACAGTCATTCATTTAAGGATGGTTCAAAGATACAACAGCCTTGCAAAAAGTGCCTTAGGACCTGTACTCTCACTTATTACTATTGCACTATCCCCATGGTCATGTGATCACAATTCATTTAAAGACTTTGTGATTCATTTAACGACCATGTGATTTGCTTTATAACCACTGTAAAAATGATAATAAAAATCAAGTCTGGTCACACTCAACTTACACCATACTGATTTACAATTGAAATTCCAGTCACAATTGTAGTTGTAAGTCAAGGACTACCTGTATCTGATCAAAAGGAAGACAACTCCTTTCATTGGTGAAAGAGGACAATAGATGACAACACTTTGTATCTTGTACAAAACGACCAAAGAAAAATCATGATTCAAAGATGTTTCAATCTTATTTCATGTTGTTGCTTAATTCCAATCTTTCAGTTTATCGTTTTTTTATGTGTGGGCCTACATATCAATATGGAAGAAAGAGTCTAGCTCTGGAAAAAAATAGGGTAAAATTAGAAACAATAGTATTATAGAACTGCCAGCAAAAAGAGCAGTTCTGTGTTTAGTTCTCTTGCTTTCTTGATATTGTTTAATGAAATCAGAAATACCTTCACCTTCTATGTCCTTTTAGATGTTCCAGCATGCAGTGACCCTACCTTCTTCATTTAATCTGAGGGAGGAGGCAACCATCACTGTCATCTTTGAGGATAGTTAAGACAGTTTATGCAAAGATGAAACATTTATTTTGTTTTATTTTTATTGGTAACAGAAGGATCACTCCATCTACAGTAGAACTTCGGTGACTTCCACTGCTGAGAATTCAGAGGTTGGGTGGAGGAGGAGAAACTGTGTCATGTTATAGGAGAAGACTTATGTAATTTCTCATTCAATCAAATAATTGGAGGATCGCCTCAGGACTCTAACATACTTTGATTGAATACTGTCTACCAAATTCACCAAACTTAATCATGAAAATAAATGAAGAGAATGTTAAACCATATGCTATGAAGAAATCTGAAAAGAATGCCAATGTTACTTCATGTCAAATGTCTGTTTTACTTAAAAACAGAAATCTGACCTTTATCAATGTTCCGTCCTCCACTATTGATAACATTCAGCTAATTTGTGATAGTGCTGTGGTCAGGAGGGGAACTGCTTAAAAGCTACCAGCTACAGTATTAATACATCATTCGGTGTGTGTGTGTGGGGGGGGAGGATTACATGTTAATTTTTCTGTGTGCAACTAATAAGCGAGAGCAAGGAAAAAAGACAGCAAATAAAAAGAAAGAAAATGGCAATAAAGATTATTCTCCTGCAGAGGAAAAATAAGCAAAACATCTTTTCTAATAATAACGTGACAAATAACTTAAAATTAAATAACTCAAATGTTTCAACTCAATGGTTTTGAAAACAAATTCTAAGTGAACATGAATAGCAAAAAAAAAAAAAAGCATTTCAGCCCCTCTAATATACAGATAGTCTTCAATTTACAACAGTTCATTTATTCATTTGACGTTACGATGGCACTGAAAAGTGGCTTATGGCTTGTTTTTCATACTTACAACCATTGCAGCATCCCCATGATCATGTGATCAAAATTCAGAAGCTTGGCAGCTGGTTCATATTTATGACTGTAGCTGTGCCCTTTTGCGACCTTCTGACAAGCAAAGTCAATGGGGAAGCCAGGTTCAACTTAACAACCACGTTACTAACTTAACAGTGGCAGTGATTCACTTAACAACTGTGGCAAGAAAGGTTGTAAAATGGGGCAAAATTCACTTTACAAAAGTCTCATTTAGCAACAGAAATTTTGGGCTCAATTGTGGTTGCAAATGGAGGACTACCTTTACTTCAGGCTACGAAATATGAAATACCAAACTCTTTTCAAAGTTTAGGTGTGTACTGACCTTAATACGACCTGACCCAAGCTGTGGAGGTAAAGATCTGGATGCAGCTGTTACTCTTGCCCTTGTTTGAGCCAAGTTGCCTGTTTGAAAAGGGAGAGAGAAAGAGAGAGAATAAGAAAGAGACAGAAGGAGAAAGCAGCAACGATTAGAAATAATCATTAAAAAAAGAAGAGCCCCCTTCAAGTGGAACTCAACTCCTGGTAACCACGTAATGCATCTGTGTTGCTTTTGTGGCAACAATATGGAAGTGGATTGCCACTGAGCAAAAAGATAATGAAAATCAGAAATTCAGGCAAACTAATATAAGTAACAGCAATAAGAACACCAGGTATTTTTCTTAGTCAAACTAGAAGCATGCTCTTATTGAATTTACACATTAAACCAATCTTTGCAAATGGAATTAGAATTGCACCCATCGGCAACTCCATCCCAGCCTCCCAGAGGCCCTTTATAAAACAATCTTTGCACCAGCCCCTGTAAACATATTCAAGTGCATATTTTGCTTTCTGTGTCTAATCATTATCTAGCAAAATAAGAACTGTCTGCAGGTTTGTACGTAAGCATCATGAAGTCATAGGTATTAAGAGTAAGAAAAACAAAACTAATTTGTTGTTGTTAGTTGCAAAGTTGTGTCCGACCCATTGCAACCCCATGGATAATGTTCCTCCAGGCCTTCCTGTCCTCTACCATTCCCGGGAGTCCATTTAAGCTCAAGCCTACTGCTTCAGTGACTCCATCCAGCGACCTCATTCTCTGTCATCCCCTTCTTCTTTTGTCCTCAGTCTTTCTCAGCATTAGGCTCTTCTCCCGTGAGTCCTTCCTTCTCATTAGGTGGGCAAAGTATTTGAGTTTCAGGATCTGGCCTTTTAAAGAACAGTCAGGGTTGATCTTCTCTAGGACTGTTTGATCGCCTTGCAGTCCAAGGGACTCGTAGGAGTCTTCTCCAGCACCAGAATTCAAAGGTCTCAATCAGGGGTGGGTTCTAAATTTTTTTACTACTGGTTCTGTGGGTGTGGCTTATTTTGTGGGTGTGGCTTGATGGTCATGTGACAATTATTTAGGATTTAGCAGAGGTACTGGTCTACCAGGCTTTTAACTGCTTGCAGAGCTGTACCAATCTACCCATTTATTTTTGCAGGCACTGATCTACTCATGTATTTTTGCAGGCACTGGTCTACCCATTTATTTTTGCAGGCACTGATCTACTCATGTATTTTTGCAGGCACCGGTCTACTCATTTGTTTTCTTTTAACACTGATCAGCTGTAGGGTGGCCCTTTGAAGCCCCACGGCAAGAGTTTAAACAGTTTTTTCCCCTCTAGCCATCAGCTGGGACTCAGGAGGCAGCAATAGATTGGGGGTGGGGCCAAATAAAAGGCAAGAATAATGCGGGGGGGGGACGGGGGCGCAGAACCGGTTCGGTGATGTCATATCGTCACCGCTACCGGCTCGGCGGAACTGGGTGGAACCGGGCGGAACCCACCCCTGGTCTCAATTCTTTGGTGCTCAGCCTTTCTTATGGACCAACTTTCACAGCCATACATTGCAAATTATACCTGTTTCTAGTAGGTCCATTTGTAAATCTGACTAATTTGGCCCAGATGCATTTACAGCAGAGAGCCAGTTTGGTATACTGGTTAAGGCAACCAGACTAGAAACCAAAACACCATGAATTCTAGTCCCACCTTAGGATAAAAGTTGGCTGGGTGACTTTGCACTAGTTGTGTTCTCCCAACCCAATTCACACCATAAGGTTGCTCTTGAGTATTAGGTATGTTCACTGCCTTGAGTTATGTATAAAAATTCTAAAGGTGGGATAAATATAAACAAATAAATAAATAAACAAATAAATAAAAATAGGAAACTATTTGCTATCATTATTGGCACACACTTTAAATGTTACAATATAGAGGCTGTAATAGCATTAGTAAAGCATCTTTATTTCAATCAATCTTTATTTCAGTCTATCAATACGATAGATATTAGCTTTTTGCAAGAACTTTTGAATAAACTGTTTGAATATGTCATATTAACAATTCAACAGCTAAGAATCTTAAATAATATTAATTACATTTCATATGATTTTAAGATTAAATATATTCAACTGAAACTTTCAATTTATTGGTCAGTGGTAAGTTTCAAAAGGTCTGGCTCTTAACTTTGGTATGAGGGTATACTTACACATACTGCATGTTCTTGTCATATTGTTATGCCATATTGGTTCAATGTTTGTTTATATGGTGTTATTAATATAGTTGGAATACATGAATGTAGATTTACACCAGTGGTGGGATTCTGCTGGTTCTAGGGGGTTCGGCCGAACCCTTTGTTAAATTGCTGGCTCACCCCGCCCCTTGCCCCACCCCTCCGCACCACTATTTATTGCCAATAAATATTAGTGGGTGAGGGGCGGGCAAGCCAGCAATTTAACAAATGGTTCGGTGTTTTTTTGTAATTTTATTGGCCCGCAGAGCTTCAGCATAGGCTAATTAGCCCCTTGATTCTATCGGCCTCCCGACTCTCAGCTGATTTGTCTCAGCTGTTTTGCTCAGGGCTCTGCTGCTTGCTTGCAAAGAGTGCAGAATTTTTTTCCCCTATCTATGCTGGAAAACGAAACTGAAAGTAAAAGCCTGCTTTACTGTTGCTGCAAGGTTGGAAAATTAGGCAGGCAGGTTTCTTTTCTTTTTCCTCACCAAAAAAGGTAGGTGCAAACTACCTTTAGTGGAAAGGTAGTTTTCCCTAAAGAGGTAGTTCCTCTTTAGGGAAAAAGAGGAGAGTTAAAGATTTTAAAACACAAAAGAAAAAAAGCTCTATTTAAATAGGGAATTGTAATAATTGAGATACTATTAATTGTATATTGTGTTGAAAGCAGAAATGGTTAAATTGTGGTTTGGAGGAATATATGGGGAAAATTATTTGGTTTATTATTATTGGTAAATATAATTAATTGATTTGTAAGAAATTGGATTGCATGGAAATAATTGGAATATTCATGTTCATATTGATTAATATACAAAAAAGATAGTTATATAACTAATTGATTTATATTAAAATGTTGAACTTATATTAAACAACTGTAATATTACATAATTAACCAATGTGAGGATGGATATAAAAATAGATGACAATGAGAAGGGGTATAATATAGAATAGAAGGGAAAAATTGAATTTGATTAAGATTAGAGATGAGGATGAAGGGTAATATTGTTTTTTTTAAAAAAAATAGATAAGGAATAAATATGGCAAAAAGGAAATATAGAAATTGTAAATTTAATTGAAATGACTAAACACTGTTTAAATTTGTGAACTGGCCAAATACTCTGTTCAAAGAAAATACATTGTATGTTTGTATGTGTGTTTCTAATTACTGCTATTTATTCATATTTATTCTCTTTTATTCTTTAAAGTTTAACAATTCATTCTTTATCTTAATATCTTTATATTTGTTTGGGGTTGCCTTTCTTCCATTTCATCTTTTTTACTGTACAGCAATTTTTCTCCTCAAACCTACCACCTCTCTCTTTTCTTTCCTTCTTACTTTCTCTTTCCCCCCTCTTCTTCTCCTCCTCTCTTCCTCCCTCTCTTACCCTCACTCTTACTCTAATTTCCCTTCCCTTCCTCCCTTCTCTTCCTTCCCTGTCTCTCCTTCTTTCTTCCATCTCTCTTCTCCTTCCTTCATCCCTCTCTATTGCTGTATCCTTTTGTGCATATGGATTACTCAGAGGGCTGAAAAAGTTATTTTTGACCGGTCCTCGTACTTTTGACCAGTCCTCGCACTTACGACTGTACACACATTTTATGTTTTGCGCCCTATCTTGTCACTGTGGTGAAGACAAGTAGTGGTGAAATGACTGACACAGTTGTTAAGAATGCTGCAACGGGCATAAATGTGAGGAAGGTCATAAGTGCGAGGACCGGTCAAAAATGTGAGGACCAGTCAGAAATGACTTTTTTCAGCCCTCTGAATAGTCCCTATGTGCATATGGACTAGTCAGAAGGCTGAAAAAGTTATTTTTGACCGGTCCTCACACTTTTGACCAGTCCTTGAACTTACGACTGTCCTCACATTTTATGTTTTACGCCCTATCTTGTCACCATGGTGAAGAGAAGTAGTGGTGAAATGACTGACACAGTTGTTAAGAATGCCGCAATGGGCATAAATGTGAGGATGGTCATAAGTGCGAGGACCAGTCAGAAATGACTTTTTTCAGCCCTCTGAGTAGTCCCTATGCACATAGCCACGCCCACCCAGTCACATGACCAGCTAGCCACGCCCACTCGGTCACATGACCACCAAGCCACACACCCCAACTAAGCCACGCCCACAGAACCGGTTGTTAAAAATATTGAATCCCACCACTGATTACACCATATACTAAAATGTTAATTTTTATATTATATATAGTTACGATTGTTTGAAAAATAATTAGAGCGATAAAGAATAAAGAAGAATGTATATAAAGTTATAATTACGTGAAGAATTATTGTTTTATTGACTATAGGGGACTTGTTGACTGGCTGGAAAAGTGTTTGCTGTGAACATTTTAAGGCTATTCCTTAAAACTGTTTTTGCAGATTTAAAAAAAAGAGAGAGAGAGAGAGAGATTTTAAAAATAAAAGCTTTGAGAGGAAGGAAGGAAGTGATGTGGCCTAAGCATGTGCAAAACATTCCAGATACATTTCAAAGTTTTAAGTAGTGAGAGGAGCACAAGATGTCCAAATGTTTTCTCTGGCTACATATCTTCAGAGGCTAAACTGTGATTAATAGCATTGAAAGAACCCTTTGAAGCAGGATTGGTGACATCAAAGTCCTAATCCATGGGTGGCAGGATTTTTATAATGAGTGGGAAGCATTTTAACACATTTCAAAGGATTTACAGCATGAATAAACAATAGGCCACTGCAGATGTGCCACACACCTTTCAGAAATATAACACATAAATAAGTTTCTATTTTAATTTAAATGTAAATAAAGTAAATAAAGCGTTAACACTTCTTTTCAGATTAACACTTTAAAAGTACCTTATTTGCAACAAGTTCATTTTTTTCCCTTAACTGCTTTTGCAGAACTTGTGTTAATT